AATTCTATGCTTTAAGTACATTTTGTTGTTTAAACTAAGCACAATATAACCATGATTATTTAAGCATTCACTCTTAATATGTTTGTTTTTCTTTCGACGAATAGTAAAAGGATATGTCGTACAAATCTCATAATCTTCATGATTTCTCAATGTTTCCCATTGAGTTTGTTCCCCACTAACGTTCTCATTGACGTCCTCAATATCTTCTTCCTCACTGAACTCGTCAATATTTTCACTAGCTCCTTCTGTAATGTTTTCATCGGCATTGTCATTGACTTCTTCTGTAATGTTAGATGTTGTTGTTTCGCTCATGTTCTTTCACTAATGTTAAAAAGTTATGTTGTACGAATTTTGAACAGAATTTAGAGCAGTTATGAAACAATGAAGTATTTTTACGCTATTGAAAGGAACTATGAGAGTGAAGTACATGACAGCAATGACAAAAGGAACTAATATCAAACCTAATGAAATCGCTCACGAGGACATAGAGCTTAAAAGTACTTTGTGGAGTATCTTATAAGTGAAGAGTATGTAAGCTTACTTCATGTTTGACAGCATGAATGAGGATGTTATTCATGGTTAAAGAATATAAGCAATGTTTTCGGTAAGTACGTCATAGATGACAAAGGTCTTGTTGTATTTTATGAGACAGCAATACGAACACAGGAACTAATGGATATTATGCACTCAACAGCAAAGAAAGGATTTAGTACTATTGGCATGAATGAACATTGCAGGAATGAACATATACAACCTATGCTCACGAAAGCCTTACACAAAAGCAATACAAATGATAGAACATAAGTGTCTAAGGTCAGCAAATGAAATCATTACTGTCAGTGGTTATGAAAGAACTGTTAGCAAAGATGAGTGGAAACAGCTATTCATATTAAGGAAGGACGTTGCTGAACTAGTTAAACCTGTTGCACAACATTGTTTCAGATAAGACCAGCAATGACTAAGAACCCTTTGACCTTACTCAATGAGACCATAGAGGTTGAAGATAATGACATGAAAGAACTAGGAATGAATGAGAGAAGTTGTGAAGGATGTTTGAGTCAAAACACATGGTTCTTCAGAGCTGTTAAGAAACTTAGTAAAGAACGACAGAAATATTTTATAGAGAAGTATTGCAAAGGATGTGTAAATGAATTGCTTGAAATAGAACTTAGAGACACTTTCACACTAAAGGACTTGAGAAGAAATAAGTACATGAGTGAGAAGGTATTGACATAGCTAGTGTTATAAATGACTTAAGAAGATGTGTTGTGTTATTGACGGAGCACGTATGACATATCTAGTGAAAGATTATGATGGAATACGAGACACAACAACACTTGTGTCAGTAGATAGCAAGGAATTCAATAAGCTCATGAAGAGTATTTATGTAGGACGTATTGAGGAGAAGGATGTGAACGCACTGATGATTTATGAAGCGGGTCAGAACAAGAACTATCTTATGAAGTCAGGCATGAGATTCTTTGACGAAAGAGATGACATTTACAGCTATTTCAGAGGATATGAGTATGAGGTACTGAATGAAGTAGATGAAAGCGTTATTGAAGGATATTTGAAACATGTTCACGATGTCATATGTAATGAGGATGAAGAGCTTTATGAGTATGTTTTGAACTGGTTCGCCTACATCGTTCAAAATCCTTGTGGAAAGACTGGAACAGTACTTTTGTTAATAGGAAAGCAAGGAACTGGTAAGAATGTACTTAGTAATGTTCTATGCGAGCTCATTAGCAAGTACGCCAACAATAATATAACGGCAATAGAGAATGTGGTTGGTAGATTCAATGCTGCTATTGAGAACATGAAGCTCATCGTATGCAATGAACTAAGCTCATGCGATACGTCTAAGGTCATGAACCACGACGCACTAAAGTCAATAGTAACAGAGACTCAGTTGGACTTAAATCAGAAGTGTCAGCCAGTAAGAAAGATAGAGAATGTTTGTAATATCATCATGATATCTAACAACTTCAACTCAGTAAAGATTGACAAAGACGACAGAAGATTTGTTGTCATTGACGTAAGCAGCAGATACAAAGGAAATTACGAATATTTCTCAAATCTCATTGAAAGCTTTAATGAAGAGTTTTATTCAAACTTACTGACGTACTTCATGAAGAAAGATTTAAGTGAATTTGATGTAAGGAAGATACCATTCACCAGGGCTAAACAAGAACTCATCGAAATGAACAAAACACCTTACCAAATGTTTTACGAGGAGTTCTATGAAAAGTTTGTATCCGGATGGAATTGTACAGAGTGCTACAGAAGATATAAAGAATTTGCGAAGGAGAATGAATTCTTTGCATGTAGTTCAAATGTATTTGGCGGCAAGATGAGAGAATTTGTGAAGAGAAGTAGAAAGCGAGACGGTTCTGCAAGAAGTTATATTTACGAAGCAAGTATGATATTAGAAGGTCGTGGAAAGAAAGAAACAGTGAATTATGAGGAAGTGCTTGAAAAATTCATGGAGTACATGGGAAGCAATATAACATACAACAAAGACATATACAGTGAGTTTAAGTACTACTGTGAACAGCATGAGATTGAAGTAATGAGTAAAGGAGACTTTGAAACGCTTATGAAAGACAGTAAGGAGGTCATACATGAACATGATGAAATAGTTCATGAGAACAGTGAGGAGGTCATACATGAGAACAGTGATGAAATAGTTCATGCAATAAGGAGGTCATACATGAGAACAGTGATGAAATAGTTCATGATGTCGTTCGTGAAGAAGCCATTGCAACAAAGAATGATATAAAGGATTTCATAGAACTTAACAAGGAGGAGTTTAAAGAAGGCTATGAAGTGAAAAGATGTGAAGAAGATTTCTTGGCGTATTTGAAGAAAAAGAGACTAAAGCCAATGGCTCAAAATAAGTTTCAATCGATGTTTGAAAAGAAACGTTTGAGCTATGGTGGTGTAAGAAGCACATATTACTTTGTTAAGAAGTGAGGACATTTATTTTTGTCGTTAGTGTTGGAGTTTGTGTTTGTTGTTAGTGAGAGAATAAATTAAATCATGAACTTTGCCATGGTCTCTGTCCCTAGTAGTTTTCATTAAGTTCTGGAAATAATGAAAGTCATAAACTTTGCCATGGTCTCTGTCCCTAGTAGTTTTCATTATCTCACAGAGTTAATGAAAGTCATACTTTCTATCAGATGAAGCATGCAGATGAACATAATGAAAGTTAGTGAGTTTGCCACGAGTTATGAATAAAATATTGGAATATTAGATGAGATAGCTGATGAAACAGATGAAGATAAATTAAATCTTGGACTTTGCCACACTCTGTCCCTAGTTCATCAAAATCCTTGACAACGTTGCTTAGAAATTTTGGTTCAAAACCTCATCTGATTTTAATCTGTTATGCTACCTGTTAAGTTTCGCGAGATTATAAATGTCATGGAGTTATATAAAAAGGAGGGACAGCTAGGGACACTGGAAGTACTTGTAAGGCTATTTGTTAAGATTGCATGAAATACTAAAAGTCATGAAATCCATTATCGCTGTGCTATCTTCACCTTAGAGTAAAATGACGACTAAAGTCACTGAAGCAATGAAACAAAAGTTTTTGGTAGAATACATTAAATCAGGAACTATTCCAGAAGGTTTTTACATTCATACTATGAAGGATGGTAGAGTTCAGTTTAGAAAGATAAAGCAACCATTAGATAAAGAAGGAATTTTGAGAAAGATTAAACTTCATGAGGACAACATTGCTGAACTTAAGAAGAAGTTAGAAGAGTTGGAGAAAGGAAGAGAGTTATAAAGCAATGAATTCAACAGGGTGAAAAAACAGGTGAAAAAAGAGGTGAGATCTCACCACTTCACCTAAATTTAAATGGATGTTTTCATACGTGTGAGGGTGGTGATATCATTTATTTTTAAGTTTATTTTTTATTTTACTGAAAATTTTTATTTGGATGTAAATGACAGAACAAAAGCAACTCATTCGAATTCCACAGTATAACAAACATACATTTAAACATTTATTCTTCCTTCCTGAGCATAACATGTTCTTTCAAATACATCCGAGACCAGTTGACTTTTCATTGACTGTGTATAAAGATAGAAATAGTTATATCATTAAACCATACGATGACGAAGGTAAGTTATGTAAATTGTACGTTAAGAAGTTAGAGAAAGTTTATGGCTTCAAGTATGACTACAATAGGGTTAACACTGATGATGAAGATATTGAGGAAAATTTATGAGAACATTAGTGAAGTCGTTAGTGAGAACGATAGTGAGAACGTTTATTTTTACATTAGTGAGTTCGTTAGTGAAGTGGTTGGCGGCTTTGTAAATATTTAAGGTTAAGTTAGTTTTTGCGTTCATGTTGTAAAATATACGTTAACGGTTTTGTAAAGTGTCAAATTCACAAGTATTGGGTAAAGTGGAACGCAGTGCCACCATACCCAAGACTTGTATACTAACTTCCATGTGGAAAACTTCACGCCGACAGAATAACAGACGTTGAAGCACTCACCGGCTATAAAGTTTGTCCATATTGTAAAGAAGAAGTTTATTCTATCCGTGATGACCCAGAAAGGAAAAACCAAAGAAGATTTTTAAAGCATTGTGAGAAATGTAAAGAAAATAATGGAAGATTAATTCAAGACGTTCAGTTGCAAAAGACCCAGCAACCATATGCACCACATATTACGAAACAGAAGATATATCAGTGGTTATTAGCTCACAATTTGCAGAAATATTATCAACCGACAAGATATTATATTACTTTTGACTTTGAAACATTAGAGACTAAAGAAGAATTACAACTTTCTGAGTGTGCAACTTTGAACGCTTACTTAAAACCATTCATGGTATCATCAACGGTTAAATTAAATGATAAAACATATACGAGGAATTTTTGCTTAACTTCGAGTGATTCTTTTATTTCTGATTGGATTGAGTTTTTATTTTCAACCTGTTCATTAGTTGCTAAATCAAATATGAGTCAATACAATGAATTAATGAAGTCGCAAACATTAAATGAAAAACAGAAGGAAGCATTTAAAGAACTTCTAGATGAGGAATTCAATAAAGTGAATATCATAGGTTTTAATTCGGGAAAGTTTGATTTAAATTTAATTCTTCGTGATTTAAACACTGCAAAATGGAAAATAAAATCAATGCTGGGTTCATCTTCACAATTTAAGCAAATCATTGTAAAGAAAACAAACGTTCCATATGAATTGAGATTTATTGACATCAGAAATTATATAGCAGGTGGGACATTAGACCAATTCACTCAAGATTTCGGAAACAATAAATCGCGTGTTAAATCTTTTTTCCCTTATCAATTCATCACATGGGAAAATTACGAAGAAGAATTATATAAAGAGGAACCATTCACTCAAGATTCATTTTATTCGGCATTAACCCAAGAAACTATATCAGATAGTGATTATCAAATATATCTCAATGATGCTAAAAATTTTAAGAATAGATTAGAATATTTTATTAATTATTGCAATAAAGATGTTGAAATTATGATTGACCCAATTGATAAAATTATTGAAGAAACATTTGTTTATAAAATTGACACGCTTCATAATGTTTCTTTATCATCGAATGCTTCAATGATTCGTTACGCTTTAGCATATAAAGACTTTAATCCTAATGAAAAATATCCTGAGGAAAAGATAGAATCAAGTTTTGAATTAACGAAAAAGTATTGGAAATATAAAATTGAATCATATAAGAAACAAGATGAAAAAGCGGAAAGAGATACTAAAAATAATGTTTCAATGGATGATTTTCAATACTATCATGATTTAATCCTTTCATCTAAATGCAAAATGTGTGGTAAAGCGTTTACATATGCAAATAAACCAACATTGGATAGAATCGATAATGAAAAACCACATACTAAAGGAAATTGTCAGTTAATGTGTTGTTATTGCAATGTCGTGAAATCAAATAAAGATGAAAATGTTCAACGTTTAAGAATCAATTTAAGAAATTATGCATTAAAAAATAATTTACCAATGACTTTAGATTCAGTTGAAGCTTATCACATTCTCCGTAATGGAATTACTGGTGGTCTATCAAATGTTCAACATAGAGTAAATCTTAAAGGAATCACGCACATTAATAAACTTTCATATAGTCCAGAAACTAAAACTGTATCAAATGAGGACACTTCCAACACCATGACTCATTTCGTTGGTGTTGATTTTAATTCATTATATCCTTCATCATTTTCATCTAATCCTCATGATTTCATTCAATATACTGACCATAAAATGTATATGCCGGGAAGATTGAATGGTGTTATCATTTGTGATACAGCAACAAAGAAAGCAAAAGCATTGGGAATAATTAAGAAGAAAAATACTTTATTCGTGGCTGAAGTAAAGGGTCACATTGATGAAAAATACATTAATGATTACATAAACTTTTTACCGATAATAAGAAACTTAGATATTATCACAGATGAAAAAACAATTGGCAGTTTTATGTATAATTACATGAAATCAAACAATCTACCGGTTGACCAGAAACAGAGGAAATTAACTCAGTTAGCATCAACACACAACCAATATCAGCCATTTTCTTCTTATTATCTTTGGTATCTAATCGACAGATTTCATTTTATCATTGATGATATTCAATCAATTTTAACATTTACTAAAAACACTTGCTTTAATGAATTTGCGAACGAATTTATGAACGAAAGACAAAAGGCTGAATTAAAAGGAAATAAAGGAAAAAGTTTATTTTGCAAGATTTCGCTTAATGGATCATATGGTTATGATGCAATGAATACACAAAATTACACAAAGACTAAAATAATGAATGCACAGAAGGCACGCGTTGCATGTATGTCAAATAAGTTTAAAAACATAAGAGAAATAGGTGAAGATACATATCAAATGATGCTTAAAGATAGATTTTATAGATGTGAAACATGTTTACAAGAGGCATTCTTTACTTTAGATAATGCTAAATACTGGTATTTGGTTTTCATTTATGATTTTATGTATAAATGCATGGATGTTAATCGTTTTCATTTCATTGAAGGTGATACTGATTCATCTTATTGGGCAATCGCTGGCGAACCAAGTCTTCCTAACACTCAAGCATTTCAAGCAATTGTAACCGATAAACAATTTTATGATAAAAACATTTTCAAATTCGCACCATTTGATTTCTTCTGTTTTGATGAGAAATTTAAACCTAAATTAAAGAATAAAGCTGAAGAAAAAGCACATGAGAAGAAGTTATTGGGTTTAGCAATTGAGAAACAGGGTGATAACATGGTTGCTTTATGCCCTAAGTGTTATACATCATTCAACGGTTCAATTGATGGAAGTGATTTTAAAAAGATTGCACAAAAAATGAAAGGTGTTAGTTTACGACAAAATAAACAATTAACACCTAAAAATTATTTGGATATAATAAATGATAAAGTGATATTTGATGGTCAGAATATTAATTTACAACTTAAAAACGGGTCAATGACTCGCTTAACAATCGGTAAGACTGCATTAACAGGAGCACACACTAAGGCGGTATGTTGTGAAAATGGATGTTGTATGCCATTTATTTAATACAATTTAAAATTTTATTTTTAATAAAATGCCACAGAAGAGACAAAAGGAACCAAATCGATTTATACCCCACCTATGATAGTTCCTGCCGTTTTCGCTACTGGTGCCAAAAAGTTTGCAACAGGTTTAATAACCTTTTTATAAACCCAACCCGCAGCTTTCTTAATTCCATCCCATAATTTTTTAAAGAATCCTGCCGCCATTTCTGATTTAATATTAATTAAAAAATTCATTTGAGAGAGGGTCAAAGTTGCTATTTGTCACTTTTCCACAAGAATATAATGGGGAAAAAGTTATCATATAGTTGATCTCATTCACTGAGGTGAGAGATGCTTGTAGTGTAATGGGATAAACAGTGGGTTTGCTGCTCTAAGTCCTAGGTTCAGGACACATTGGCTTCATTTTTCTCTTTTTTATTGACGTAAACTATTCAATTTTTGTGTTCTCCATTCAAATTTCAGAATTTTTTTTGCAGATTTCACGCTACATTCGAAGTTACCTTTTGTAACAACCACCACTGCCTACGAAAGACGAAAGTGTGTCACGATTTCACCCGGAAATCCGACGGTTGTTTAAGAGTAAGCACTTTTGGCACCTACTCAAATTCATTTTCATCACTTATATTCTAATTTTTATTTAATGATAAATGAAACCGATTTTAAAAATAAATGGAACAGAGGAGGAAGAAATGAATGAAAGCCAAAATGTTCAACAAAAAATAAACGTTGTTAAACCAATTACTGAAATAAAATCGTTTTCATCTGTTGAAGAATTTAATGACTATTATGCTAATAATAAAAAATTATTTGAAGAATTGACAACATGTAAATTGAATAAAATGTTTAAAGTTGATGGATTCAAAATTTCAAAAATAAAAGGGGTGGTTAGTTTGAAATCTATTCCTCAATCAAGAATCACCTCATTAATGAAAATAGATGATTTAACAAAAAGAATAGAAGAGATTGAAGAAAGAATGAATCAAATAATTGATTTCATAAATTCAAATAATCATTAGTTTCAATTTATTTTTCCCGTTTATGAGGTCTTTGATTATGACTCAATTGAAGTTTAACCCATTCAGAATTTAAATGATGTTTAATTAATCGCGGAATATCTGACATCATCTATATATAGCTTCTTTTATAAAAGATAAAAAAATAAATTATTTTAAAATTAATGTTAATTTTTTAATGATTTATAAATAAATATATTTTAATGCATCGTCTATATATAGATGATACAAAATCGTTCAATATTGTATGATATTCTTACGTTTACAAAGATGATACAAAATCGTTCAATATTGTATGATATTCTTACGTTTACAAAGATGATACAAAATCGTTCAATATTGTATGATATTCTTACGTTTACAAAGATGATACAAAATCGTTCAATATTGTATGATATTCTTACGTTTACAAAGATGATACAAAATCGTTCAATATTGTATGATATTCTTACGTTTACAAAGATGATACAAAATCGTTCAATATTGTATGATATTCTTACGTTTACAAAGATGATACAAAATCGTTCAATATTGTATGATATTCTTACGTTTACAAAGATGATACAAAATCGTTCAATATTGTATGATATTCTTACGTTTACAAAGATGATACAAAATCGTTCAATATTGTATGATATTCTTACGTTTACAAAGATGATACAAAATCGTTCAATATTGTATGATATTCTTACGTTTACAAAAAAAGTCACACAACCCGTCATCATATACTACTATCCTTCGCTTTTAAGATCATTGAATTTGATTTTTATATAAAATAGTTATATATTAGAAAATAATATGAGTTTATGTGATATTATTTTTCAGAAGATTTTGTGTTCTTCTTCAAAATTTTACTTTTTTATTAAAAAGAATCTTTACAAAATATACATTTACTTTAATTAATATTTAAAAACGTGCTCTATCAAAAGTTCCAAAAATTCAATATTTTAGCTTTTCTGAGGTGTCACTTTTGATGAATTTCTGTTTACAACACTATGTTAGTTGTCATTTAATGATATTATTGGAATAAAAAAAAAAAGGTAGTGGGGCCTCCAGGCACTTCGTGCCCTCTAGCCCTGAAGATGTTTAGTATAACTTTGTCCGGACAAGTAAGGGTCTATCGTCGCTACAGGAAAAGTTACAGGCGTTACAAGGAAGTATACTTTGAGAAGCCTTTTCTGTCACTTTTCAGGAAAAAACATTTTTATTATATATATAAAATGAATTTTACAAAACCACCGTTACCCTTCTTTGGAAATAAGAGTAGATGTAAAGATATTCTATTGAGAGAACTTAAGAAACTACCGAATGGTCTAACATTTGTAGATTTGTTCGGTGGAAGTTTCTATATATCCCATTTGTGCCATACAATATTTCCTGACTCAAAGATTATATGCAATGACTTCGACAACTATATGGACCGTCTCAAACATATACCAGACACAAACAATATATTGAAAGCGTTAAAAGAAAAGATACCTATAGGTAAGATGGAACGTATACCATTAGATAAGAAAAATATTGTGAGAGAGGTTTTGAAAAAAGCAGAATATATAGACTGGGATAGTATATCTGCTAGACTATTATATAGTGGTTCTATAAGAGTTCATGACATTGAAACACTTATGTCAAATGTTTTATATCTTAACTATACAAATGTTTTCAAAGAGGACATAGAAAAATATATTGAGGGTATAGAGTTTGTGAGATGTCGTTGGACAGAGTTGTATGAAAAATATAAAGACAAGGAAAATGTTTTCTTTATAGTGGACCCGCCGTTCTATAACACATGGGATTTTCAATACCAAGTAGACTGGACTTTGAGAGACTCTTTAGAAACTTTAGACGTTTTACATAACTGTCCGTGCTTTTACTTTACATCCGATAAAAGTGGTTTGGAAACCGTTATGAGATGGTTAGAGGACATACATGACTATGAGTTTAGATATGACAAGATAGAATATGAGAGAGGTCCTATAAACCGGAGAAAGTGTCATAACAAAGAAATTTTATTGGTAAGTAAATGTGGTTTGAAATAGGACTACTTGTTTTAGGTTTTTTCCATTGTGTCATTTATTTATTTGACGTGGCAGAAAAGTACAGAGAATATGAAGATGAACCAATGCCTGCAAATGTCCAGTATATGTACTCGTAAGATATTTTTATCTAATATTAAATGGACGCACAGAACTTAGCGAATGCACAGCAACCTGGACAACCAAACCCAGAGAATATTCCAAATGAAGTTAGAATACAAACTGCAATGGCAAACTAGTCAAGTGCCAACAGATGTACAAATGCAAACTGCCATGTCAAATGACGCTGCGTTAGGTTTGCCACCATGGTATGCAAATATGAGATGGAAAGAGTTTTATACAAACCCTGAAGTGGGATATAAACAACTTTATGCAGATGACGCGAACACAGGAGTTGACCCAGAATATTTTTCTACCAGAGGAGAAACAGAATGTATGAGCTCCAGTTAAAAAATGCTATGGAACTCAGAAGGAAACGTAAGAGACTAGGCGGACATTAGATTTTTACATATAGTAAATGGGTTTCTTCAGTAGTATTGGAAACTTCTTCAGAAGAGTCGGAAGAGGTA